CTTATGGGATGGATCAAATATAAAACAATTTAAAGTATTACTTTCTACATTTAAGGGTGTTGTGTTCTTGGTGGCGCCAACACATTCTTCCATGAAAATCTTGCCTAGAATTCTGAAAAAGTAGTGGTGGGTTGGATGAGGTTACCAGTGGTTGGTACACGTAAGGTGAGCACTTTGGCCTTAGGTGAAGTAGCAGGAGGAAGAGAAGACAATTGGAGGAACCGCTGTCGTCGGTGGAGGAAATAATAAGGGAATTATGAGTTATTGGGGTGTTGAGCCTGCGAATATTACTAAAAAAGATGGTAATAAATGGAGGTGGAACTCCTTTAAGGTATGTACAAAAAAATAAAAATAAAAACTAATAACGTTTATAACATCACGCTCTTGTTTGATCTCCATTATTTACAAAATACATTTTTTATATCTTCTTTTCAACCACACATCCTCTTGTGTATAGCATGTGCAATGGTATTTATGTACTTAGCCATAATTCAGTTAAAAGTTGTTAAAAGTGCTGAGCTATCATTGGTGAAACTAGTTATTATTGTATATATATACTGTCGTTTCATCCTTTAGTGAAATGAGAAAATTCATTTTTCATTTTGTGTTTTCTCTCTCAACTTGCAGAGATATTTTTTTTTCTATTTTGGTATAAAATCTACATGGTATCAGAGCATCTTAGAGCTTTTGTTTATGGCGGCAAATTTAGAAACAAAAATTGAAGGTTCTACTGATAATTGTTTGCCAAATACTCATCTCAATTAAGATCCAGTTATTGCAGTGCATCGAATGATAACAGATCCTTCAAATCCTCACTAATTGCATTATGGAGACAACATAGATATGTAGACTGTTTCAGTTATACTTTCTGATGAAAATTACTCGACATGGAGCCGTGCTGTAGAAATGCCACTGAATGTGAAGAATAATGAAGGTTTTATTGATGATTCTATACCTACACTTTCTATAGACTCACCTCTATATCCTACTTGGTGTAGATGCAATCATATTATCTCTTCGTGGATAATAAATTCAATCCCTAAGGAGTTATATCCTAGTGTTATGCATAAGGATTCAGCATGCCAAATCTGGCGGGAACTAAGAAATAGATACAGTCAAGGCAATGGACCTAGAATTTATCAGTTAAAGAAGTTAATTGTTTCGATCTCACAAGGGAATAGTTCTGTGAGTGCATATTTTAATAGGCTGAAAGGCTTATGGGGTGAGTTATCTAACTATAGGCCTTAGAATCACAATTCTTATTATGAATAGGAACATATCTTGCAATTCTTGATGGGATTAGATGACAGCTATTCTAATGTGTTTAGCCAAATTCTGATGATGGAGCCTTTGTCCTCATTGAACAATGTAGTTTCACTAGTTCAATAGGATATAAAGCAAAAGGATGTAGCATCCAAAAACCAGAGTAATGTCGAAGCTACTGTATTTGTGAGTAGACTGATGGCTAGTTCAATGAGTTCTGGTGTTAATCAGAGGCCTATGTATAACAATCACAGTTTCAAGAAGGACAGACCTAAGTGTAGTTACCTTGGTATGCTTGATCATCTACAGGGGAAGTGCTACAAGCTTCATGGATATCCCCTAGGACATAGGTTGCAAAGGGATAAAGGCAAAGAAATTGTCTCTAGTGCTAATCAAGTTACTACCTCTCCAGATTTGTCCAATGTGCTCTCTGGTTTAACCATCACACCAGAACAATGTTAGAATGTTCTCAATATACTAAAACCACAGCTTCAAACTCAGTTTTCAAATATGGATTTTCATGCTGGTAGTACTGTTAAACGAAGTCAAGCTAATCTAGATGTTAGTCCATTCGATAACGTGCAACCCTCTTCAGCTCAAATACCAGCCATACCAGATGCTTCTGCTTTCTCTAGTAACAATTTTTTTTGGCTGTGTTAGATGTAGAGAATAAGTAGATGATTCACACTTGTGCCACAGATCACATAGTGTGTTGTATTAATCAGTTGACCACCATTACTGTAGTGATAAATGTAAATGACAAACTTCCTAATGGAGATGATGCTCTTGAGACTTACATAGAAACTGTGAAGCTGCTTGAAACGCTTTCATTGACCAATGTGTTGTGTATTCCTTCATTTAAATGTAATTTGATTTTAGTCAGCAAACTCATTTTTTTCCAATTATTGTTGCTTAATATTCGTATTCAACTATTACTTCATTTATGACCTTTCTACATGGACAATGATTGGAATGAGGAAGCTTGAAGCTGGCTTATACCACCTCCAATTTAGCAATCCTTCAAAATCTATTGGTTCTATAAAATCCATATCTCATCAATCTCATGCAAATTCTTCTTCACTTGTAAATATCGATTGTAATAAAGTTTTGAATAATGGTTGTGTTCATAGATTCACTACTTCAACTGGTTGCCTTTTAAGCTATAGCACTATAGCTTAGTCCATATTCCTCATTCTAAAATCTCCATTTTACATAAGTCTGTACTTGAAATTGTATCTTCTTCTGATTTTCATTGCAATATTTGTCCCATAGCAAAGCAACATCGATTACCCTTTACCAAGAGTGTGCATTAGTCTCAGTCAAATTTTGAACTCATTCACTACGATATCTGGGGTCCTTATCAGGCCCAATCTCTTAATGGTTCACATTATTTCTTGACTATAGTAGATCTACTTAGACATTTCTAGTGAGAAACAAATCACAAACTAGACAGATAATTCAAACCTTTTCTCGTATGATTGAAACTCAATTCAGCACCAAAATCAAGATTGTGAGATCTGATAATGGTGCTAAGTTTGCCATTAAAGATTTCTATAATTCTAAAGGGATTTTGCATCAAACCTATTATGTTGAAACATTACAACAAAATGGTGTTGTAGAACGTAAACATCAACATTTGTTGAACGTTGCCAAAGCATTGAAATTTCAAGCCAAACTATCAAATAAGTTTTGGGGTGAATGCATTCTGACAGCAACCTATCTCATCAATTGCATACCTTGCTCATCCTTATCAAATAAATCACCATATGAGATTTTGTTTTCAGTAAAACCTACCTATTCTAACTTGAGAGTCTTTGTCTCTTTATGTTGTGCTTCTACTCTTCAACGACATAGATCAAAGTTTGATCCTCGAGCCGTTCCTTGTATTTTTGTTGGGTATCCAACTGTTCAGAAATGATACAAATTGTATAATACAAACACTATTTTTATGTCTAGAGATGTCATCTTCCATGAAAACATATTTCCATTCTATGATCATGCCTTTCTAAATTCTCTTGGTTATTATAACATTGATTCCAATCAATCTTTACATAATCCTCTATTACCGTATTCTCATCCTTCTACATCAGAATGCCTACCATCTGATTTTTCTCCAATTTCATCTTCATCTCCTGCTTCAACTTCATCTCCCACTTTACCATCACAATCACATCCACGTCTATCTTTACCTTCATCTCATTCTGTATCTCTACTTCATCTTCACAATTACACGACAACTCTATCCATAGATCAACTAGATCCAAGATGCCTCCCAGTTACTTACAACAATTTCGCTGCAATCTTGCTTCTCAACATAATTCAGCACCATATGGTTCCTTACCCAAAGTTGAAAAATCCTATGGATTATTCAACACATTGGGATATGATTCTCTTTCAACAGAACACATGGCTTATGTGATGTCGCTTTCCACCAATGTTGAGCCTGGAAACTTTATGGACGCATCTAAATCTCCAGCTTGGTGTTAGGCTATAGACAATGAATTCCAAGCTTTAGTTGCCTATAATACCTGGACCATTACTCCCCTGCCTGCAAATAAGATGTTTGTGGGTTGCAGGAGGGTTTATAAAGGTAAACTTAATCAAGATGGGACTGAGGAAAGGAAGAAAGCCAGACTTATAGCCAAATGTTTTACTTAACAAGTTGCCCTTGATTACCAAGAAACATATTCCCTTGTAGCAAAGTTAGCTTTAGTTAAGGCCTTGTTGGCAATTGCAGCTAGCAAGAATTGGCATCTTCATCAGCTGGACATCAATAATGTTTTTTTTCATGGAGATCTTGATGGAGAGGTATATATGAAGATGCCCCCAAGATATGAGCAGTAGGAGGAGCATGGTGTGACATTAGTGTGTAAGCTAAACAATTCAATCTATGGACACAAACAAGCATCGAGACAATGTAATACTAAACTATAATCTTTAATTGTCTCTCAAAGATTTGTCCAATCCAAGTCTGATTATTCCCTTTTCAGCGTGCTCTTTATCTATGTTGATGATATTATCATAGGGTGGAATGATTTGGCATATATTGAACAGTTTAAAAGGAGTTTTGATAGCCAATTCAAGTTAAAGGATTTAGGGGTTTTGAAATACTTTCTAGGACTTGAAGTGGCAAGATCTAGAAAAGGAATTGTAATTTGACAACGCAAGTATGCATTGGAAATACTTAAAGATGATGGTTACTTAGCATCAAAGCCTGTCAAGTGCTGTATGTTGCAGAGTCTGAAGTTGAACAAAGATGAGGGAGAACTACTTGATGATCCAGGAATGTACAGGAGATTGATTGGAAGATTGCTGTACTTGACAATTACAAAGCCAGATTTATCATTTTCAATA